AAGGAAATTTATGGAGCTGCTGGTGTTGAATATGCTGAAGCTGCTGAAAAGGAAATTCAAAAATTGGACAAGTTGCCAGAAAAGTATTCTATTTGTTTTGCTAAAACTCAATACAGTTTCTCTCATGACGAAAAATTGAAGGGTGCTCCAAGTGGTTTCATTCTCCCAATTAAGAGTATCAGATTATACAGTGGTGCTGGTTTGTTGGTTCCTTTCTGTGGTGATATTTCTGCACTTCCAGGTCTTCCAACTCGTCCTGCCTACCTTTTGATCGATATTGACCCAGAAACAGAAGAAGTTAAAGGTCTCTTTTAATTAATAAATTATTTACCAATTTTGCAAAATCTTTGAATATTAGGATATGCCAAATTGCATAGACTGTGAATTGTTTTGAAGTTGAGGATCTTCTTAATTTCTGCAGTTAAAACCACTTTCAGCTAATACCAACTCTGTATATCATTTCTCAATAGATGTTTGACATTGTTTACTGGAACGATCATGATGAATTTATTTAACTTATTGAATGAAATCTCTATCATCTGATTCTTCTTCATAGTTCATACCTAATTGTGTTAGTTCATGCTGTGGCATTGAGAATCTAAAATTACGAATCATTGGAATGTCTCCAATAACGCTTCCTCTATTCATTTCTGAATCTTCAGGCGAATAATTGTTGTAATTTTGAGATTGTGAATAAAACATTTCATCGAGTGGTGTTAAATGTTCTGCGAATAATTGCTGAGTTTCGATTAAACCCTTTTCCATTTCTTGATGGAAAGCTCTTTCAGTTGCCTTATCCATGAGTTGATTTTCTACCTTAACAGCCTCTTCACATAACTTTAAAAATACATGACACTTTCTGTTCAAGTTAATAATGTGCTCAACTGCATAGAGTGGACGTTGATCCATCTTGAGGAAACCTTCAACAATACTTGCTGGACCGCCTTGAACTGTTGCCTTGATAGAACCTTGTAAAACAAGTTGAAGATTTGCCAAGTCAATATTATTACCTGTCTTGATTTGTGAAATATCAATTTCATCGTCTCCTGGGATTTGAAGAGCTTCTCTAAGTTTGGAAATTTGAGATTCAATATTTTCAATGGCAGCTTCAATTGGTGTCAAGATGACTTCCTCCTCAGATTCAATCTGGAGACGTGTTTTCATGTTAGGGAAATAATCCATACATGTAATAATAACTTTCTTCTTGTAAGCTTCAGTTACAACTTCAGTCTTTTTCCCATAAGCTGATTCATAATAGAACTTTCTGATATTTCCTTCATATTTAGAAATCTTTTGATTTCCAATAATTATTGGTTTGACACTCTTTGTTAATGGTTTAACAGGAGTCAAGAAGATGTAACGTTTGTTTGGATCGATATCAACCTTCTTTGCACCACTTACAACTTCCATTTGTTCATTTACGAATGGAGAACCAAACTTTTCTTGAACCCACTTGTTCATCTTGAATAATTTGAAAAGTTTTGGCATTTTGTAAATATGATTAGGTTGAGATCTTTCTGGTGGGAAGTTCACCAATTCAATCTTGTAATAGTATGGTTCTAAACGATCTGGTTTCTTCAAACGATCACATAAATCTTGTAAATGATGATAGGCATTTGAAAGTCTTATCCAATCATTAGATCTTTCTAAGAATGGAAGTGAAAGTCTTTCTAAAACAATACAACTTTCAAAGTATTCTGCTAATTCTAAGCATTCCACAGCTTTGGATAATAATTGAATAATACCATATTCAGTAAATTCAACTGCTTGATTTGAAATAAAGCAATCATTCATTGCATTTCTATTGTTAGGATTTGCACTTGTTAACTTATCAGCGCTTGTCTTTCTCTTGAGTGGCGAAATGGCAAAGAATGATTGAACTGAAATACCAGCAAGAATTGGAGAATTAATAGATTTCAAATGATCAAAAACAAGTGATAAAATTGTCATATAACATTGACTTGCTTCCAAATATTGACCATTCTTGTAATGATTAGCAGCCAATTGATTCAACCAAACAAATCTTAACTCTGGAATTCTGGTATAGACTTGTGAAATTCTCAAGAATAAATCTTCAGTTTTGTGAATATCTTCAAGGGCAAGAGTTGATTTAACACTTGTTGTGTCGTGTAATAAAGATTGCAACTTTTTACAAACTTGAGTATTGACTTCTTCTGCAAATGTTGATTCTTCCTTTCTTTCCTTGATAGCAGATAATAATTTAACTCTTTGTTCCATTTTTCTAAAGAATGAATCAAGAGTTGACAAGGTCTTTGTTTCAGTTGCAGCTGTTGATTGAGTTGTTTGATTATTCAATGTTTGTTGAACTGAAATTGGTGGATCAGGGTCCAAATAAGCATATCTTCCAATAGCATCAATTGCTGACTTTAAATAAGTAATGTTAACAACTGGAGAAACATATTTTTGTAAGGTCTTTGAAAGGGCAAGTGTTGTTAAAACTTGTGGTTTCAAAATGGTATTATAATTAATAATATACATGTATCTGATAAGAAGATAGAGACAGGCAGTAGCATGGCTTCTGACCTCTGGAATAGATGAATTACAGTGCATCATTAAACATTCACAGAATAATGTTGGATATTGAGCATTTGCTTCCTCGTCAAATACTTGTTTGTAATGATTAGCAAAGAAGCATTTCAAATAGATCAAAACATTGATCAATACATCTTCTGGTTGATTAATACGTAAGAAGGTAAGGAAAATCTTGACAACATTTTCCAAAATACTTGCAGAATCCAAGTGATGATCAGTCTTTTCTGTCATAATTTCCTCAATACAGAACACTAATAATTCAAAAACATAGTTAGAGACTTCTCTTGACCAATTTTGTTCAATATTAACACACTTCTTAACATAGATAGATGAGTTAGTTTCCAATTTGACAGACTTTGTCTTATCAGCAGAATCTAATAATCTTGCCTTTGATAATGTTCTAAGTTCTTTGATATCAGTCTTGAGATTTTGATCTGAACTAACAAAGTTAGGAATGAGCTTTGAGAAAAATCCTTGCTTATTCTTCTTCTTCATCAATGAAGCACCAGCTTTAACAAGTTCTGATGTTGCTGTTTTTGGAGAAGTAATTTCTTCAATATCACCTGCAACATAGGTACCAATATCTGCAAGAGTATCTGTTGATAATGCTTCATTACTTTGAGAGATGGAAGAAATATTGGTAGATGCTTGAAGTGCTTGTGGATTGCTAAGAAGAGAAGAAGCAGAGGAGGCATTAGCAGAGACAGTGGCAGTTGAAGTTGAGTTGTTACTAGACAAATCAGCATTAACCTTATTCTTGACTTTCACTTGAGTATTGTAATAATGTTCATAGAAAACCTTGTAATATGCTTCACTTTGATATTCAAATGATTGAAGAATTAATTGCATCATTTGCAAGAATTGTAATCTCTTTGTAATATTAATTTGTTTCAACCATTTCTTGATATATCTTTGTTCAGTATTCTTCAAAATATGGAAAACACAAGTTATCAATTGTCTCTTTTCTTTGAATGACTCCTTCATATCTTTCTTCAATTCTTCTTTAGTTTTGTTGATCATTCCTTCGAATTGCTTAAAGTTAGTTTCCAAAACAATAATTTCCTTGTTCAACATTTCCAATTGAATACCAGCAAGGGAGCTTTCACTAGCAGCTCTTTGAGATTCCTTCTTGGCAGCCAATTGTTGTTGAATCATAATCTTTCTCTTTTTACATTCATTCATCTTTTTCTTATTGGAATTTACACTCTTTTCAACTTCAGATCTCCAATCTTGAAGAATGCCCAAGAATTTATCAACAAACTCAAAGGTCATTAAGTTGATTCTGTCGGATGCTTCTGGTATTTCTTCCAATGTAGAATTCCTAGAGGTAGACATGAGCTTGTAGAGGAATTCTCTAAAAACTAGAGCAGTATGATTTCTAGTTTCCTTGAGTGGATTTACCAAATTCTTGATTACTGTATCAACAAAGGATGAGAATAAGAAGTGGGTATCATCCAATGGTGGAAGACTATCATTTTGTAAAATTTTTTCAATAGATTCTGGAACAAATAATTGAAGATAATTATCGTAGGAAAATACTTCCTTGTAAGTGATTACTTGCAAATTAGCAATACATTCCAATATGGTGTTCTTATTCTTTCCCATTTCAGATTCGGTTGGAGTAATCAATGGAATTAACTCTACAAATGATGCAATTAGTTTCATTACATAAGGTTTGTCCAAAATTGTAAGCAAAACCTTTAAGAACTGAGCAAAAATGACTGTAGTATTGATAATAGTAACTGGTCTAGTCTTGGAAATATTTCTCTTCAATAAATTTCTAAAAGACTTGGTTGTAATTGTGTTAATAGTTTCATAGAAAGTTTCACTAAAATCATGATCAGCGTTTTGCATCTTGTTCTTTCTAAAGTCCATATGAACAACCATAGCTTTAAGTAAAATAGAGAATAAGTAATTGGCATTCTTAATAATCTTACTGTCATAATCATCTCTTTCCAAAATGTACTTGACAGACTTGGCAATAGTTGGCAATCTCTCCATCATATAATCAGGGAAAACACTTGTAAATTGGAATTTAATCCAACCAGGAACTATTGTACGATGTTCTGTTCTATACTTGTCAATCATATCAATAATTGCAACAAATATTTCATGTTGAGTGTCTTCATCATCTGTACCAATATCAAAATACAATAGGAAAAGTTGATTCAAAATAACTGGAGCAAAGGCCATGTGTTGTACTCCAAGCAATTTGAGATTTGGTAAAACAAGAGAAAGGTCAGGAGAAATTAGGAAAAAGTCATCATCAGAATCACGTTTTCTACTCATCTTTTTGAAATAATTTCTCTTTTGGAATAAATCCAAAGTATCAAAGAATGACATTAAATTATTATCAGTAGGGAATGCAATTGATCTTGAATAGAGTTGGAATGTAAAGTAACCATCAACTTTTTCAGTTTTAACAACATTGGCTTCCTTTTTCTCTGTGTAAATTTCTAACTTCATTTCGGTTCCATTCAATGCAGCTTCAGCCAAATGAACAATGGCATAACCAATTCTTTGGACATCTTCACGATGATTTTTCAAAATTAAATTTTCCTTATGGAGAACGTTTAAGAATTCAAATTGTAAACTATAATTCGTTATTCTGCATGGTAAAATACACTTCAGCTCATCACAAAATTCTGGTTGTCTATTACCAACAGAAACAGATGTAAATCTATAAGGAACTCTAGAATTTCTTTCAGGATTTCTGGAAAACTTTGGATAAAATACATTCATTGGTTTCTTTTGCTCATTTAGGAATGAAACTTTAACTGTGATATTCTTAAAATCTTTCTTTGTTAAATTCAATTCCTTTGGATAAATAATAAGTTCACTAGATAATGGTAAAATCTTAGTCAATAAACTATTTTCCAAGTTTGGAATTTGTTGTACTCTCAAATGTTTGGAATCGAGTTTAATAACCAACTCGTGAGAATTTGGGTGGTAATGGCGAGGAATAGGAGGAATATTTGGTAATTCTTTGAATATGAATGACAATTTACCATAGATAGTCTTTTTCATCAATGGTTTTGATTCACGTTCAACTGCATTAGTATAAACATCTAGATAACTATCCAATAAAATAGCATCTCCTGTTCTACATTTTCTTGGGAGAATGTACAAACTATCACTTAAAACAACCTCTGACCTCTTCAAACAATCTTGTAAATGAATTGCAGACCAACCAAAGATTGAAATTGAACTGGCAACTCCAGGGAATGTGCATAATTTTTCATTTTTTGTAAAGTACTTTTTAACATCACCTTGTTTTACCTTTTCTGCTTTTTGAGTATACAAATCGTTCAAAGTTTCAGTCAATTCACCTTTGAATCTTCTAAAAAATTTAAACAAGGCAACAACTTTGGATTCAAAATTCTTTTGTACAGAAAACATAGCTTTCAATTTGGTGATAGTATCTTCTTCTTTTGGATGTGTTTCAATCTTGAATTCTACATCTTCTGATATCTTTTTAAATGCCTTATCAGTATAAGTATAGAGTGAAACAGTTACAAAGTATGCTTCCTCAAGAGGAATATCAAGTTTCTTATTTACATCCAATTCAAAACCTTTCAATTCGAAAAGATATTGACTTGTTGGATCAATGTGTGAAGGTTCCCATTCAAAATCAGAGTATAATAACTTGGTATCGTCATTAGTTACTTTTTGTTGATCTTCACATGGGAAAACATCTTCAAAGGTAGCCAACAAGAACTCTGGTTCTTGTAATCCTTCTATGGCAAGTAATTTTTGCTTACCTGGAAGAACTAGAGAAACGTCCAATTCATCAGCAGCTGTTGGTGATTCATTACTCTTTTGTGCTTTCTTCCTTTTATCATCAATTTTCTTTCTATCAAGAATATCAATTTCATAACTAACTTGTTTCAAATCATCAACGTTAAAAACTACATCTCTAACTTTAGTATCCAATGATTTGAAAGAAACAATGATAAAATCAGAAGACATGGTTTGAATTGTACTCAAAACATTGTAAGGTAACAATTTTGAACTGTCTTCATGGAATTGAGAAAGCAACAAGGTTCCTTCAGTATATCCATCATCAACCTCTTCATCATAATAAATACTTGGCTTGAATGGATTGGCTCTTCTCTCCAATTGAACTTCTTCCAAGTAGGATTTTTCACGTGTGAGCGGAACAAGCATAGTTTCCTTTCTCTTTTTGAAAGAATTATCCCAATCATCTCTCATTTCAATCTTTCTAGTTATTTTATGAACTAGAGGATCATTTCTATCCAACATTTCCTTGTAAATATCACTGTATTGATCCAGTCTATACTTGACAATTAAATTTGAAATGGCTTCTTCTTCCCTTTCTTCAACAGTTGCTTGTAATTTTACAGGGGTAACAGCAGAATAAATTGCTGCTGAGTCAGAATCATCTTCTGTACTTTCATCATCGAGCATCACAGGAGTTGATTGATTCTTTTGACTACCCAAATTTGTTAATACACGCTTATGATTTGATTTTCTTGAATTAATTCCATTTGTAACAATATCATCAGAAATATCAGTTGTAGTTCTGAAATTTGTGAGAGGAGATTGTGTAGGAACTGAAGATGAAATATGAGGTGCAGAATTTGGAGTTGCATCTGAAGTTTGGTGATTGTTTGGAGTGCCAAAATTTTCAGAAACACTTGAATCAAAATTTGAAGTTGGTGAGTTGATTTTCTTTGGAGTTAAACTTGTAGTAATTGTCAAATCTCTAGAACGACGCTTATCAAATGATCCACGATGTCTATCTAATGAACTACGAGCAGATGATGTTGCTGATGTAACAGAGTTTAAATCTCTAGCAGAATAACTTCCACCAATTGGAGATGCCAATGTATTACTATTACTACTAATAAAACTTTGACTTGATGTTAATGGTGTTGAATTGTTACTCAAATTGAGAGATGGTACACTTATTGGAGAAGCTCCACTATTGATATTATTTGATGGCATATTTAAAAATTGATTTTGTTGGAATTGTAATTTGTTTTTCACAACTTGTTTCAACCAATCAATAATTTTTGTTAAGAATAAATAATGTTTGTTGTTCATGGCAACGTCAAATGGTGTATGTCCATTATCATCTTGTTGTACAAGACAATCAAATTCATCTGATTGTAATACTAAATATTTTACAATTTCAAATTGAGCCAATTTAAAAGCAACATGTAATGCTGTTTGTCCATTAGAATATGTCTTCTCGTGTAAAAGTTCATTCTTTTTTTGATTAAATAAATCCTTTACTCTATTTAAATCTGTTAATGCTTCTTCTTTAGGATCTGTTAAAAAAGTGAATGAAATTGCAGGATTTGATGAAATGAATTGATAACTTTCTAAATCTAGTACTTTAATTTCATAACTATTTTGATTATTATCAATACTTGGTGTTAAAAATTGTAAAGTATTTGATTGAATATTTTGAGGTTCTATTATGAATTTACCAAAAATTACTTTATATCTATCTAGTGGAATAACATTTGTTTTGTTATTTGTTGTTGTATTTGTTTGTTGAACAACAAAAGGTATTGAAAAGTTAATTGTAACTTGTGTTTGTTTTTGCAGTGGTCCGAATTGTGGTTCAATTTTTGTTATCGTTAATGAAGTATTAGTTTGATTACTTGTTTCATTAAAAAGTGGTTTAAATATTGTTGTTAATTTATCAATTATTGTATGTAAACTATTGATATTTTGTTCCATCGATTGTAGTGAATATTCTTCCTCTTCTTCATCAACACAATCACCAACCATTTCATCTGATGTCAAAGATAATCTTTCTTTCATTTTTCTAAAAGATTCGTTTGCTCTCTGACTTGATGAATTTGTTATTGATGTTGTTGTTGTTGGTTGAGTAGTATTGGGTGATGTTGATGATGTTGTTTTTTGATCAGTAACAACATTTTCACTAGAATTCATTTTCTTATTGTTGTTATATTGTCTAGTTTCTTATTGTTATACTTGTTGTTGGTTGACTAGAAAATAATGTAGTGAATTGTTGTGTTTCGTCTGTTCTTACACTACAAAAAAGAAAGAGAGAGAACCAACAGAAGAATTGTTATAATTTTTTTTCTGTGTGATGTTAGACTTGTGCTCATTCACCTCTCTTGGCCATCATCTTTTAAATCAGTGAAAAGCCAAAGAAGTGCGCTTACCCTCTGTGAGAGGATCATCCTAAGAGAAAGTGAGGGAACGAATAATTTGCAAGGCTTCCTCCTGTTGGTTCAGTCATCCTTGATTTATCAATATTAATATTCGGGTGATGGATTGAGGTTTAAATGTTATCTTAAGAAACTTGATTCATTTTTTAATTGTATTATTGAGGATGTTAAGATCTTAATTTCCTGCCCGAGCAAATGATAAACCAAACTGGTAGAAGGTTTTGAGTTGAATAACAACAACCTGGAGTGATGATTAATAATATTTCTACTAAATTTTTAAAAAAATAATATTAAATTTAATTAAAAATAAAATGAATCAACAACACCAACAACATGGTGGCGGTGGAAGGATGGGCCACAACAATCAGCAGCGTCACCATCCCTACAATAACAATAATCAAAATAATAGAAATAACAATAATAATAGGATACCTAGAAATAATAATAATAATCAACAGCAACAACAACAACCAAATGGAGGAGAAAATAATGCTCCACAAGGAGGTATTGCTGCTTTTGCACAACAACAACAACAAGCCTTGCAACAACACGGTGTTGCACAAGACGATGGTCCAGTAGCACCAAATTTTATTCAACAACAACAAGGTAAAATGGTGTATGATGGTAAACGTATGAGAAAGGCTATTGACAGAAAGTTTATCGATTACAGTCCTACAGTCATCCAATTAACTAGAAGCAGAATTTATGAAAGATCAAAGAGAGATTTAATGTATATACCTCCACATCCTGCTTATGAAATTAACTTATTACCACCATCAGCCTATAAACAAAATCCAACAACATGTATTACAAGTAATTTTGAACACTCAAGTACAAACAAGGAAAGATATGCTGTTCACGTTGTTTCTTGGACACCTGATGGTAGAAGATTGTTGACAGGAATATCAAGTGGACAATTCACATTGTGGAATGGTATGGCCTTCAACTTTGAAACTATTCAATTAGCACACAACGATCCAATCAGAGCCATGGTTTGGAATCACAACGATACTTTCATGGCAAGTGCTGATAACGCAGGAGCTATTAAATATTGGCAACCTAATATGAATAACGTTTTAGAAATTAAAAAAGGACACGAGGAATGTATTAGAGATTTAGGATTTGCACCATCTGATTCAAAGTTTTGCAGTTGTTCCGATGATGGTACTATTAAGGTTTGGGATTTTGAAAGAGCAACAGTTGAAAATACTTTAAGTGGTCACGGTAGTGACGTCAGATGTTGTGATTGGCATCCAAGAAATAGTTTAATTGCTAGTGGTGCTAAGGATTACCTTGTAAAATTATGGGATGCTAGATCTGCTTCATGTGTTGCTACTCTCCACGGTCACAAAAATACTATTTTCAATATCAAGTGGAATATGAACGGTAACTGGGTTATGAGTTGTTCAAAGGATCAACTTATCAAATTATATGATATTAGATATCTTAAGGAATTCCAAACATTCAAAGGGCATAACAGAGAAGTTACTTGTCTTGCCTGGCATCCATTCCATGAAAACTTATTTGCCAGTGGTTCTTATGATGGTAATATTATGTTTTGGATGGTTGGTAATGAATCTCCACAGGCTAAAATTAAGGAAGCTCACTCAAGTGCTGTTTGGGATATTGCATGGCATCCATTCGGTCATATTTTATGTTCTGGAAGTAATGACCACTCAACCAAGTTTTGGGTGAGAAATAGACCTGGTGATAAGATGGATGACAAGTATAATGTTCATGAATTACCTCTTCCTTACCAAATGCTTACTCAAAATTCCCATCAACCTTCAGCCAAGGACACTTTTACATCATCTTCAAGTTTCTTACCTGGCTTGGGTCCAAAAGCCATTCCAGGTTTGTAAGTTTGAGGATGGATTCACCATTTGGCTTATTGACATTTTTAAATTTGGAAATATATCTTCACATGGCATATTTTCAAACAAAATAATGGAATTGACTTTTGCTGAGAATGCATCAGATTAAATTGTTAATGAAATCATCAAAAGAATAAAAATGTAGAAATTAATATGTTTATTTATTTGGTGTCTCATTTAAAGATTTACTTTATCCACTTTTCATGGAATTTACAGAGAGTTGACTGACCAATCTATGAAAGGAGCTAATTTACAAAATAGTATTTTTGTGTGGGCCCTATTGAATTGAAAAGCTTTTCACACACTATGCACCAATTTAATTTTTGCTTCCAAAATAGACCTAAACCTCTATTGAGAAATAAACAAGCAAGCTGCAGCACAACAACCAACTGATTGAATTGCAATACAGTGTGCCATACAATTATTGCTCTCTTTGTGATTTTTCATAGCCAAACAATAATTTCCCAAAACAATTACCATCAAACACAATTAAAAAATGGGTGTAAAGTTCTCTAATCAACAGAATGCAGCCCTTCTTTACCCCAATCTGTCAACCCGTGTCAACAATAACAATACATCACCTAATAACTCTCTTGATGAAGTGAAGAAACCAACCAAAATCGTCTTGTTAGGCACAGGCGAAGGTTTGTATAAGTTGAAATTTTTATTGTTGTATTTACACCCGTGTTGTGTTTTTTCATATATATTAAATTTACCACAAAATATAACATTTAACGGATTCATCATCATCATCTACGCAATATTATATGAATGATCTTTTAAACAATATCATGACGAAACTTGAAATTATTATTAAACAAATATATATTCGAAACATCAAATTATCTATTAACAATCAATTAATTTCGAATATGAAAATAATTAGGAGGAAAATCAACAATAGTTAAATCGCTCAATTATTGGTATCCCATAAAACGGAAATACAATGGAGGCACTTCATCAACAACAACAACAACAAATTCTTCACATCAACAAGTGGTATCCAACTCAATTTCAGGTTCCTCTTTGAGTACAACACCTCATCTTGTATATAATAATAGTTATTCGAATACTTCATCTAATAACTTTCTACAACAAGGAAGTATTTCTTCTAGTTTGAACTCAAGTTTATCAAATATTCATCAAAATTCACCTATTTCTTCGAGCGTGAATTCCAATTACTTAAGTGTAAATAGTGTAAATTCGAATGGAGAGTTTTTATCAACAAGAAATACCTCCACAATTCCCAAATCACCAAGAACACATAGTTTTGATTTGAGTACTCCTACTGACTTGCAATGTATTATATTTGATGAATCATTAAGAGATTCAATTGATTTAAGAGAAGATTTTTCAAACAGTTATAGAAATCCAGAATATAGACGACTTTTTATTTATCCCATTCATAGAAATACACTTTTAGCAATGTATGGACTTGTTGATGGTTGCACAAACATTTATCACGCTATCAATTTTCAATTATTAGATCCAATGCATGATTATTATTTAATTGATAGTATTAATGCTGTTTTGGACGCTGTTAGTAATATGAATAAGGATAATTATTGGGTAATGACCAAGTCAGTTGCGGAAAAGATTAAATATTTATGGTACGAAGTTCCTCAAATTCAAGAAATTTATGAAATGGGAAATGAAATGTGTTTTGATTATATGGAAAGTGCAAGATATTGGTTTACAAGTATAGATAGAATTGCTGATCCATATTATGTCCCAACAATTAATGATATTTTGAGAATTAGAATGAGAACAACTGGTTTAGTTGAGTCTCTTTTTCATGTTCCAATTAAAATTAGAAAGACAACAACCTACTATTACTATAATTGTGAAAATGAGAAAGTTAGACTGGGTGTAGAAAGATCAGATCAATCTCCAAATGATCTTAATGCGGTTAATTCTTTTGATTGTTCAATGAGTATTGATGGATCATTCTTAGATCAACAGACTTCTAAACCAAAGAAAGATTATGTTGTATCTTATACTATACAAGACAGATTTCAAGATACTAAATTTACAATGGAACTTGATGATATTTTACCACAAAACACAAGTCTATTAGAACCAATATTTGAGAATAAGATTATGAAAGATTCTCAAAGCTCCAAAACACTTGTCATGTATAAACCAATTAGAGTTGTAAATATGGGTTCACAAAGAAGTGAAAGAAAGAAATGGATTAATGGCTTTGATGAAGTGAGCGCTGTTTTGTTTGTTGTGGCTCTAAGTGAATATAATCAAGTTCTCTACGAAGATAGAAAAACTAATAGAATGATGGAAAGTTTGCTTGTATTTAATGAGATTATTAATTCGACCTTCTTTGCTGATGTACCAGTTTTCTTAATATTTAACAAATATGATGTATTTTTAGAAAAGATTCAGAAACATGATCTTTCAATTGCTTTTGGTAAAGAGGTTCCAGACGATTTGAAATTGAACGCCAAAAATCGATTTTATCAATTTGCAACAAATTATATTCAAGAGAGATTAAACTCACATCAAAAGAAATTAGAAGAAGATTCTGATGATATTGCATTCGATCAATTCATGGAAGGAGTAGAAAAGAAACGAAAGATGAATGAAAAGTCTCTATCCTATGAATTTAAGAATGGTACTGATTCTGAAGACTTCTCAGAGTTTGTACTTTCACAAAATGAGGAGAAGAATATTTTTGATGATCTAATTTCTAAGGAAGAAAAAAGATCATTGAAGAAAGCTCTTGCTCAAACTAAAAAGAAAACATCAATCTTTGGTTTCTTAACACCAAGAGCTAAAAGAGAAGAGGAACAACTAGCACAACAATATCCTCTCGGTCAAAGATTTAACAATCAATTAAGCCAAAAAAGAAAGAAGAAGAAGGAAGAACCTGTAAGAGCACCATCCGTATTAGATAAAGCAATTGAAACCGAGAGTAAGGCCTCATGTAGTTCCCTGAGTACTATGAGTAGGCATTTCAACCCTAATCGCTTATCTGATGACAATTTATTGAGACAAATTATGAGTCAGAATTATTCGAATTGTAATGTAAGAGGATTGCAACAATTAACCAGTACCAATGTTGGTGCAGAAGAGGAGGACGATACAGAGAATGATGTTCTTGATGATGATGCTGAATGGACCTATTGTGAAGAAGATACATCACGTGTCATGATAGAACTTCCTCCAGAGGCTCTTATCTATGTGTGCATGTTTCTTGATGCAAAAGACTTGTGTTCTCTTAGTGAGGTTAATTATGACTTTTATAGAATTGCTACAAGGTTAGTTTTTCAATATTTTATATGCCAAATATTTACACAATGATAATACATCTTAATTACAGTGATATTGTGTGGAGAAGTTTATGTTTAAGATATCAAGAAGATGTTGATGAAAATATTATCATTTCCAAGTATGCACTCTATATGCAAGAGGATGCTGACAATAAGATTTTTATTTCTGTTCCTTCAATTTCAATGAAGACTATTTCAACAAGATCATCAATAGATGATTCACAAAATAGTGATCATTCTATAAAATCAAATAGAAGAATATTTGCTAAGGGTGTATACAAATATTGGTATGAATTTGGACAATCATTTATTAAGAGTAAGTTTAATTCTATATTATTCACACATTCTCAAACACCAAATTAGGAAATATTGATTTTATTGTTTCTAAATTTATGGAGCAAACTACTAGGAAAGATATCAAAATACATATTACAACAGCAATTGATATAGACTCACTCAAACCAATCATGGACAGCACATTTAACAGAATTATCAAACATGTGGCTGAGCAGAAGGATTAAAACACTTTTCCCGCCAATTCCATATACAAAAAATTAATAAAAAAAATGAGTTTCAGTGGTGGAAATAATGCAAGTTTAAATGGATCATTGAATAATAGTGGAAGTGGTACTCCTTTATTTATTCCAGTGAATACAAGTGATAGATTTCCTTCTTCAGGGGAAGGATCAATCTTACAATCATCAATGAATAATATTAATACATCATCTCCCGAGTTAACTGTAAAAGTTGCAGTGAGGATAAGACCCATGCTTCCAAAGGAAAAATTGGAGAAGAGTAGAGAATGTGTAACAATAGATCAAAAACAAATAATAATAGGAAAGGATAGAACATTTGCCTTTGATTATGTATTCGGGCAAAATTCAATGCAGGTATGTAACGACAAAATACAATATTTTCATCATCAAAATTTAGTCAGCAATTTATGACTCTTCAGTAAAATCATTAGTGGATGGACTTTTTCAAGGATATAATGCAACAGTTCTTGCCTATGGTCAAACAGTATGTTATCTTTATGAACTTTTTGGATCTAACTTTTATTAGGGCTCGGGGAAAACATTTACAATGGGAACAGCAAATTCATCAAATTTATTAGATGAAGAACTAGGAGTTATACCGAGAGTTATTCAACAAATATTCGAAACTGTAAAACAAAGAACAGATATGGAGTGTGTTGTGAAAGTTTCTTTTCTTGAAATTTATAATGAAACTATTAAGGATCTACTTTCTCCGACAACATCATCAAAATTGATTCAAATAAGAGAAGATGAGAAAAAAGGGATATTCCTTTCGGGGATTAAAGAAGAGCTAGTCCAAAGTTTTGATGATATGATAGGCTGCTTGGAAACTGGTAGCTTGTATAGAACTGTAGGAAGTACATTAATGAATGAAGTGTCGAGTAGGTCACATTCCATATTTACTATTTTACTTGAACAGAGAGTTAAAGGAGAAAATTCTGATTCAACAGGAAACGGAGAACAATACATGACTGCCAAGTTCCATTTAGTGGACTTGGCTGGTAGTGAAAGAACAAAGAGAACGGGAGCTGTTGGAGTTCGATTTAAAGAGGCTGTTCAAATCAATTGTGGATTATTGGCTCTTGGTAATGTGATTAGTGCTTTGGGAGACGAGAAGAAGAGGGCCCACATAACTCACGTTCCATACAGAGACTCCAAGCTTACGAGGTTATTGCAAGATAGCTTGGGTGGTAACAGCAAAACAGTTATGATTGCTTGTATTTCCCCAGCAGATTCAAATTTTGAAGAAACAGTGAATACCTTAAAATATGCCAACAGAGCAAGAAACATTAAGAACAAACCAGTTGTGAATATAGATCCTCATTCAATGCAAATAGACCAATTAAGAAACGAAATTCAATCACTAAAACTTGCTTTAATGCAACAAAGAATGAGTCCAGAAGGATTTAACCCATCTGTAGAGAATTTGCTTAAATTTGAAGACAACCAAAGATTCTCTGATGTAAATAGTATACGAGATGAAACCAAATTGTTGAAGGAACAATTAACAAATTCCAATACCAAGATAGAAGATCTTAACGAAAATTTATCAAAGATACAATCAGAAAGAGATTCTTACGTACAACGATTTAGGGCATTTAGAAACAAAGTGAAAGATGTTCTTAGAATTCTTAAAAAAATCCCATGGAGTTCTTTGGATATTCCAAAAGAGAAAATTTCTGAAATAATTTCTGCTTTAGAGGCTGTTGTTTCGAACGATGTAACTGGTTCATTAACATTGGAGAGAGTTGACTCCACTTCAAGTTTGGGATCTGATACCGATTCCAACAGAAGTGAAGATGACAAGAACAAAGTTATTGATACATTAAAGCAGGAAGTTAAAGAGGCAAGGGATGACCTTAAACGTGATGAAAAAATATTTACTGAAAAGATGAGAGAAATTAAGAGATTATCAAAAACAAATTGGGTGTTGAAGAAAAATGTTCAAGCACTCAAACAAGATTTGGAGTTGGAAATGAAGAAGGTTGCTCAATTAGGTGAATATATTCAGAGTCTTCCTGAAGAGCTGGGGATTGCTAGTCTTCCTCCAATGCCTGTTCTTGTCAGTAAAAACATGGCTCAACCAATAAGTGTACCTCCACCACAAGAGGACAGTCCAAGAGAGGAATCACCTGTTGTTGAAGGAGAGCTTAATCAAATAGAGAACGATATTAAGAATATAGAAAAAGAAAAGAACATGATGTACAATCAACAAAACCAAATCGAAATGGAAAAGACAATGGTAGAGAAGCAAATGCAAGAACATAAAATGATTTTCATGAAGAAACAGAGGAAATATGAGCAAAGCTTGAAAGACTTGACTGTAATGATTAAATTGAAAGAGGAGTTGATAAGAGACTTACTTAAGAGTGAACACGAATCATTGGTTATCCAAGAAAATTATGAAAAGAAGATTCTTGAAATGGAATCGTCAGTGATTGCTACTCAACAGGAGCTTGAAAAACTAATGACTGCCCTTGAAACAGCTGATATGGAGAAAGGAAAAAAGGAAGAGGAAAAGAAGAGAATCCAGGCTGACTATGAAGAAAGGCTCAAGAAACAAAATTTTCAACTCTCAGAATTCAGAAAAAAGGCAAATGAATCAGATAGAATATCAAAGTTAAAATATCAAAGTGATAAGAAAGTTTACGATCTTCAATCCGAAATTACAAAGATGAAATCGCAACAGGATTCTCTCAGGAATAAGATTAAGGAAGAAACTGAAAAACAAAACCAATCGTATTCATCTCAATTGAAACAAATTGCTGGGTTAAGAAAACAAGCTGAGCTGAGTCAAAAAAGAATTAGAGAGTTGGAAATTGAAAACCAAAAGCAAAGATCACTTCTCGATAAGAAATCTGAAGAAGTTGAAAAGGTTAATCAGCAGTTACGGTTGAACAGGTATCAACTCTCAAGATCTTCCAAGATGAAAGCATCATCAACAGAAATAGACAAACAAAAAGAATGGCTCGATAAGGAGATTGAAAAATATATGACAAAGAAAGATGCTATTGAAACTTTGGAAAAAGAGCTTGCAAGAAGAGAATCCATCATTCAAGAAAAGGAACATATGATAACTGCTAAGCAGGATATTGAAATGAGAAAAATACGAAAGAATCAATTCATGCAAGAGTCAATGGTTGATATTGAGAAACAGTTAGAAGAAGTTGAAAGAGAAATTATTGAAAAGGAAACGATTCTAAAGAGCAAGAGAACTTCCAACAGTAATAATTGCTTGAAAACTGAAGCAAAAATTATTAACGATCTCCAACAACAAATCGACGTGTTGCACCAAAGAAGAGAAAAATTCCTTAAGCACAGAGATAAGCTCGAGCAAAAAGCCAAGGATCAAATTAAAAAGGAAGAAGAAGAGCTTGAGGAGATTAACGAAAGAACAGAAGTACTTGATGCTGAAATCCAATACAAGACTGAAACAATTGAACAATTCCAGAACAAGTTGAGATTTGCAGATAATGAATCATTTTCCATGTCTATGTTCAATGAAATTGGATCTGTTTCTGAAGCCAAAGTGTTATTGAAACAATATTTCGAAAAAGTTATTGAACTGAAAGAAGATGAAAAAGTGAAAAAGCAAAAGATTTTGGAACTGGAGCTTAACCTCAAAGATAGAGACAAAATGGTTGAAAACCTCCAAAATAATATTCGTCTTACAGAACTTGTTTACGAAAGAAGGCAAATCAAACTTCAAAAAGAAAGCGAGCAAAAGATTAACTATCTCCTTAAACAAATTGCCCAATATAATGGTGACCAATCATCTTCATCTGGAGGGTCTTTATCAATCGATACTGAAAAGATAGTCAAATTAATCAAAGTGAAGGACGAACAAATCAGCAAGTTAGACCAAAAACTTGACAAGATTAAACTTCGTTCCGATAACTTGGAAGAAACATCCAAATCCTCTAAACTATCATCAGAATTGGCTAGCTTGACTCAGTTGGTGCATTCGAGACATCCTAAACATTAAAATTAATTTATTATTTCAAAAACAACACATTAGAGCATCCTCAATCGCAAGAATTTCAAAGTTAACAACCATTGATATTCGGAAGAAGGATATTTTGTGCTTCCTCTTCATCGGTTCACTTCCGAAATTGAATCAGCATTCAAGTCCCATTGCATTTTCAAATTGTCGAGTCAATAAAAAAAATGAACATCCTTGAAAGGTGTCTTGTTCTCTCTGATGAAGTTGGTTTAAATGCTTTGAAAAATACCAACGAATTTACTTCCGATTTACAAAAGAGTGAAATCTTGTCATTTGCTATTGATATTTTGAACGGAAATTACAAATCTGATTATCATCCTTCCATCTTTTCATCAATTTTTAATCCACTTGCTGATTTAGATGAAGAAGAATGTAAAAATTATCAACTCGTTAAATCACTCTTAACAGGTAAGTTTGTGATGAAGATTTAAATAACTAATCTTCTACCATTGTTATTAATTCATCCAAATCTGTTAAAATTTCAACAATAACAACAACATTAAACAACTCCTCATCACTAACAACCATCTAATAGAATGTTATAAGAAATTAAATCAAACCATCACTAAATACCTTTCGGAAAACCCAGAATTTAATTCAATTATTATTTTACTCTGTGGTATTAATTATTTAAATTTATTTATTCAACAAAATTTTGTTGGTCCAACAACAACAACACTCCATTCAATTCCTTTCATTAATTTAGGTGAAATTAAGAATCCTGAATTTTTAGAAATTAAGAATGAATCAAATTCATGTAGAACTTCAACTTTACAAAAATATGCCATTTCAGAATTATCTATAAATGGTGAATCAGCATTTGCAGTTACAATAATTCCACATTATTTATTAATTGCTAAATGTTTTCTTGATAGAGATGATATTTCAAACTTGGAAACTTATGAATGGTGGAAATTTAGAGTTAATATTACTCATCAAAGATTAATGAGCTATTTTACTGAAACAATTTTAAATTCAGTTTCAAAATCATTTGAATATCTTGATGCAAAATATCCAATTGAAAAAGTTACAGAAGAAAATGATGAATTATTTGCTAGATATTATATTGAAAAGGGTCTTGTTGATTATTACTTTAGAAGACAACGTTTTGCTTATCAAAGTTTTGAAAAAGCTAAACAAGCAACTGGTTTATATATGAATGTAACTGGTAAATTTGGTGTTAAAACTAAATATCAACAATATAAGACTGCTCAATTGGTTTTAGAAGCTAAGAGTAGAACTTCCAAACCAAAAACAACTGAAAGTGATCTTTTACCTGAAGTTGTTAAACATTATGAAGATACTCACTTGTTGGAAACACCAAATATTGATTTAACTGATGAAGAAGAAAAGGAATTGACTTTATCTTCTTTAAGACCTGTTGATCAAGCAATTATTTTGGCCATGTGGTATGTTTTTATTATAAATTGTTTGAATGATATAATTTTAATATGATTTAACATTGATGTATGATATTATTGATATCATTGATATTATTACTTTGAATTTCTTTAAAATAGTATTGATATTAAGAATACAAATCCAGATCACGGTATTACACAAGGACAAATGATGCCATATATTAACAGAGTTATTGAAAATCCACAAAATTGGCTTATTCAATCAACTGCCTTATTATTAAGAGCAAAGATTCAAGCAGAAACTGTTGGTACACTTATTCGTAGTATTGAACAAATGGAAAAACTTGTTTCACAATTACAAAATCCAGAACCAAATATGAGCACACGTCTTAAATATTTCTATTGTCTTGGATATCCACCAATATTTGAATTACAAAGAGAATTAGCATTTATTTATACTAAATCAGCATTATTAGAATCAGCACTTGTCATTTATAGAAAATATGGAATGTTTGAAGAAATGATGAAATCTTTCATTTCACTTGATCAAGAAAATAGAGCTAAAAGAGTTGTAATTGAAAAGGTTATTGAAGATCCTGAAAATCCACTTTTATGGTGCATGTTAGGTGATTTGAAACGTTCTGAAAAATTGAGACAAGAATATCATGTTGAAGGTGAAGATGAAATTCTCTCCAAATATCCAACTTGTATTGCAATGTATGAAAAAGCTTGGGAAGTTTCTGAACATCGTTTTGCTAGAGCTAAACGTGCTCTTGGTTTTTATTATACTGAAATTAATCAACATGAATCTGCAATTCCAGAATTTGAAGCTTCTTTAGCTCTTTCAAGTTTATACACTTCTGCTTGGTTTATTTATGGTTATTGTTGCATGAAAACTCAAAATTGGAAGAAGGCACAAACTGCTTATTCTAAAGTTGTTCAACAAACTCCAGATGATGCTGAAGCATGGAGCAATTTGGCCAATGTTCATTTACAACAAGGTAACAAGTATGTTTTAATATTGATAATTTTTTATATATTTAATTAACTATAATTGTACAATATATTCATTAATGAATGCATTGAATGATAATAACAATTTAAATGAATATAGAAAAGCAGCATTCTTAGCTCAACAAGAAGCAGCTAGAATTGCCTTTGATGGATGGCGTATTTGGCAAAATTACTTGTATATTTGTATTGAAGCTAACGAATTTGATTGTGCAATTAGTGCTGTCAAGAGATTGGTTGAAATTAAGCAAGATAAGAAGCTTGACACTGATGTCTTGTTCTTATTCTTGAGAGTTTTCAAGATTTTATTAGAAAAATCACCAGTTCCACATGGTGAAAGATTGAAAAAAGAATTATCTGACATGTTTGAACATATTACTAATACTATTTCATTGGATCCACATATTTGGAAAGCTTATTCAGGATATTATGAAATTTTGGCAGATTCTGTTTTGGATGAACATTCAGAAGAAAAGATTAAGTATTTAGAATTGGCAGTCGAAAAGAGACAAAAATTAGTTAGAAGTTTACAAATGTCAGGTTGGGAACGTGAACAATCTAAATTTGGTTTTGTTGCATTCTCTGTTTCTGAATTAGTTAAATTACAAATTCGTGTTGCTTCTTGGTATAAACAACATGATAAGGAAGATAAGGAAGTTTCACATTTATCTCAAGCTGAAGATTTACTCAAATCTGTTACAAAACGATCACAAGAAGTTTTCAAGAATACTGAAGAATTTAAAGAATTGGCTGATCTCTTAGAACAAGTTCAACAAGCCTTAATTTAAATAAACTTTTGATATGTAATCAAAGTGATACTAGTTATATTGTATCGATTAATAAACTAATAATAATAATACTTGGTAACATGTTAATAAATAGGATATTGAAAAATTAATATATATATATATTTAAAATTGTTTAATCTCTTCCGTATCTACCTAACAGATAATCCTTAGATTCATTAATTTTAGATGAAATATAAGCAGAACCTCCATTATCAGGGTGATTTAAAAGCATTAATTTTCTGTGACGTTTCTTTACATCTTCCTCTGTAACATGTTTAACTGTCTTTCCAAAGCCTAAAACATCCAAAGCTTCTTTCTTCGACATTTCTGGGTTAAATGATCCTTCAATAAAGTTTCTTCCGTAAATTGGTTTCGAGAGTAAATCAGCATTCAATGTAAATCCTGTTTTTTTCATTGTTGTACTATTAATTGCTGATGCTGATTTGGCTCTAGCCATAGCTCTAACTGATGCTCTTAAAACAACAATTCCAGATCCAAGGGCAACGCCTGCAACTACTAATGAAAGGGTCATATTGATGATGATGTATTGTTATTGATGATATATTCAAAAAAATTAAAATTCGGAAGAAAAAAGCACTACAGAAAAAGTGTTCTTGTTCGTTATTGTTGTTGATGGATTTTTTTTAATTAATTTATTTGATTTATTCAATCAATTTTATATTATCTTTAAAACTTGATTAAAAATATTATACATCTACAGCTCAATATAATTAAAACACAATGACAATGATAAAATTGATAACCACCAATGCTCTTTTTATTAATGATACAGATCTATTGTAGAGATGTTTTGTAATCCTTTGAAAAATGTTAAACATTGACAAATCAATATTTCATCAACTACACCAAATGTAAAATTTATTATGATACAAATCTCTCTATATATGTACAGAGAGGAAGCTATTTGTGAGCTGGATAAATAATTACAGCCCATTCTATAATATATTTAAATGCTAATATTTGATTTACAATTTCTTCCATGAAGCAATCTTTCCACAAGAACAACATTTAGTACCAATACGAGCTAATAACAATGTAATATTATACAATATTCGAATATCATTCAAAAACTTTTTTTACAACTAACCTTGAGGAGTTGCATGACACATGTGACACACTGACACAACACATCCATCTTTACATGAAATCTTATGGAGTTTAACACAAGAATCGCCACAACCTGAACACTTTGCCATTATTGTTTGATTTTAATTGTTTTTTTTTAGAGTTTGATATTGTTGTTTGATTTGAAAAACTAGTTGTTGGATGAGTTGTTAAAATGTTCCATTTATTTACCGTGTCGCCCATGTAATCATGGATGAGTTATTATCCATGTTCATTAATGGATGTGAAAATTGAAAAGTTCACATTTAGAGCTAATTGTAAAGATTTACAGTTTTTATAAATTAGATAAAAATAATAAGAAGAATGCGTACTACAGTGTATCTATACTGAGTAGTATTGTTAAATGGTAAAGTTTATATAATATTATATTATTTTGGTTGAATAATATTGTAAAGATTACAATTGTTTTTTTTATTTCTAAAAATACAATTCCCAAATTAAAAAACTAAAAATATCCTTTAAAAAAATACAAAAATTTTACACCACCGTGTCGAATGGATAATTCACCATCAAGAAATTTAACTCTAGCATTATTCTATCCAACAACAACAACATCATCATCATCAGTATCACTTCAATACTTTTCAATCAATAAGTGCGCACAATCTGAACATTTCATATAATACATCATTAAATACATTTTACGATTTTTAAAAACAATAATAACACCACATCATGATGGAAACAGAACCAACCTATGATCAACAACAACAACAACAACAACAACGTAGTACAACAACAAGAAACAAGGCAGGTGAATTTGGTAGACCTTTAATACCCTTCTTTTTAAATGAAGATGCCAATGGAGAAACACCAACCGGAGGCTATTCAGTGAATGAAGATTTATTCTTAACTGATGAACAAGCACAACAACAAGAACGAGTTTTTGTACCAAAAGGGGAGAAATCAATTAGAGTAAGAGAATTTAAAGATGGATACTTTGAATACAAGGATCTTTCTTTTGATGGTATTCAAGAAAAGTTAACCTTTCATTCTCCAATCAAGCAACAACAACAACAACAAGCTAATAACAATAGTAATCAACCACAATTCTTCTCTCAACACGTTGAAAATAATAAGAATAATTCTTCAAATGGTAACAGTAATGCCAATGGAAATGGTTTTGGGAAAACAAAAACATCAAGCAGGGATCACTTTGCAAACTATGAAAGAATGGTCATTCCTTACCAACACAAGAATAACATGACAAAATCAAATGATAACAGTAGTAGCAGTGATGAAAACAAACTCCAAAGTGATGAAGATAAACGAGAAGAAGAAGATAAGAAGGCAAAGAAAAAGAAGCAAAAGAAGAAGGTTATGGTTCCTATCAATGTACAAAAACAAAATGTATCTTCAAGAAATACCAATCATCTCATTAGAAATCATGAGAATCAACCTCCTAGTAATATCAACAATAACCAATCCTCTAATCAAGAATTTATTTCATCATCATCACAACAACCAAATTATCAACAACAATCAGTTCCAGTAACCACTATTAATCATACTGCTGGATATCCTCAAGTATTAGTTATGCATAGTCCTTTAGCTTTCAACTCTCCTTCCTCTCCAACAGTTTATCCAAAACCAAACACCAATCAGAAATTATTAACACCTTCATTACTTGGTATCAATAGATCAGCTTCTATTATAACCTCAGCAAATAATTCTAGTCCTAATTCTGCACCATCACCAAATGGACTTTTAAAACCAAGCGCTCTTCTCAGTCAATCACTCCAATTAATCAATTCAACACCTGTAAAACCTCCTACAGTTTCAACTATTCCTCCACAAAAAGTTCCAACTCATTTTCCTCAACAATCCTATGATGTTTCATACCTTGAAAATAATATTTTACCACAGTATTATCAAGAACAACCTGCTAGTTATAATTATTCAATGAATAATGGTTCTCTTCCAAATGTTACCACTTCTGAACCAGTAATTGAACAATTACCACCAATTTCACAAATGGTTTCATCTAGTTCATCAACCTCCTTGACTGAAAAAGAGTTATTGTCAATTTTAATGAATGATGGATCTGTCAATTTCACCCCAGATGAGCCTGAGAATTTAGAACAAAAACATAAAAAGTTTGCAGGTGGTTCTTGGTCAAATTCTCCTCATCCAAGTGAGATTCCAAAGCCAAATTTCAAATAAATGCAAAGATTTGGATCTCAAAGAATAATTTAAAGATATTAATTGTTGCATTCAGGGAAAGCAGTGAAATTAAAGACGGTCTTCGAGTATTTACTTTGGGATATGTTAGTGATATTCAGATAAGGCAGTTCCATAAATCTATTTTATCTGGTCAATTATATGGCATTTCAAATTTTTGATAAATTAATTACCTTGTCGTTTGCACTAATAAAATTATAAATATAAGCAGATAGAGTTGTTTTATTTTAACTTGCATTGGCGAGATTCCAAATAAAGCCAATCAAATATCAAAAATTGAAGTATTTACATGTTTTTTTCATTTTCTTTCTTTTTTTCATCTTTTTCTTAAAGCTTTTCTCAATATTCATCTATTTCTTTCATTTGTCTTTCTCTCATATTCTTAAGTTTTTTCTCATATTCATCTATTTCTTTATATTGTCTTTCTCTCATATTCTTAATTATTTTCTGATATTCATCTCTCATATTCTTAATTGTTTTCTCATATTCATCTATTTCATTAAGTTGTCTATCTCTCATATTCTTAATTGTTTTCTCATATTTATCACTCATATTCTTAATTGTTTTCTCATATTCATCTATTTCATTAAGTTGTCTATCTCTCATATTCTTAATTGTTTTCTCATGTTTATCACTCATGTTCTTAATTGTTTTCTCATATTCATCTCTTTCTTTCTCATGTTCATCTCTCATATTCTTAAGTACGAGTACATATTCGTCTATTTCTTTCTCAAGTCTACCTCTTATATTCTCAATTGTTTTATCATGTTCATATCCCTTTCTTGTGACTTCAATTTTTGATTCCTTTGATTTTTCTGAGCGTTTGATTCCAGGGTCTTTCTCTGATTTATGTACTTTAATACAACTATTATTTCTTTCTTCCAACTGGATACAATTACTTGAATGATCTGAGCTTTCATCAGACTTATATTGCACCTGTAGCTTATTGCTTGAGGATTCATGTGTTGGAATCCATCCAGGTAAACGTTTTCCTTGATTGATATTGTAGCTATGTTTAGGAGAAGAATCTTCTTCAACATCTGAATTGGAGGTTGAGGTGAGAGAATCATACTCATCTGCTACCTCTTTCCAATGATCCTCAGAGAATGAGTTTGAAATTGTGAAACTACAATCAAGATCAACTTTTAAATCCATCTTGAATTGGTTTTCAATTTGGATTAAAGTAAATTTTTGATGAGAATCAAAGAGAGATTTGGTATTGGGAACGGAGTGGACCTCTTCAATTTTAGCAAAGGAGTTAAATTGCTCCCTTAACCAACTTAATAAAATACTATACAATTCACAGGTATCAATGTTTTCTTCTATACTCTTATCTATTAGGATGGAAAAACCGTTCTTATATGATGGTTTTGAATTTTGAATTTTCAATGGTACTATCTTAACCTTATTACTGACTTTCTTAGAGTTTCTAATTTCCTTAATTTTTCCTAAAACTTTGGTTTTAATTGGCGTATATTTACCATGATATTCAACTCTTATTTGGTGGCGATATGTAAAATCTGAACCAATGATATGAACGTTGAAGAGTGTTGGTAGGTGGCAAATTAATTTTGGCTGTGATTGTTGCATCGGTTAATGGAATACCTGTTCTCATTTTTTTGGAAAGTTAAAAATTTCAATCACCACTTGCAATTTACAACGTCTATTGAACTTGGCTCGGCAGTTTGTTTATAGAGAACATGGGAGGTTTTTACATCTTGCTTAGTTAAGGTTTATTCATGAGATTGATCAAGTACATCATTTATTCCTTATTCCAATACTTCATCTCCATTCCTTGAGGGGCTTCACCCTTAACTTTCTTAGAACCAACCTCATTCCAATTGGTGGATAATACAGTACCACCACTTTCTTGGAAACTCTTCATCATGGCTCTTCTGGTTTCTTCGTTACCTTGCGAGTAAATTTGTTGGAAAAGTTTTTGTAAAGCAGCATCACCTTCTGGTTTTTCTTCTTCTTCTTCCTTCTTGGCAATCTTGTCAAGGGAGTCAAAGTCGGTCTTCTTTGAGGTTGGATATTTCTTTGGATCGAATTGAGTAGTATAAACGCTTGAGGATTGGAATTGAGGATCAAATTTGTTAACATTTCCAACTTCTTCAAAAGAAGGCCATTCAATAGTTGGATGAACCTTCTTCAACTTGATTTCACATTTTGAAGGTAATTGTTCAATCTTTGATTCTGATGGATTAATACTGTCAAATAATTTAAATGTTCTTTCAAATTTGGTAAAATCTTCATCTCCCATTTGAGCTGGAACTCCTTCTTGTGGTGGAATTGTAATAGAAATTGTAACTTCATTTTCACTGATAGTAACATGTCTATCTTCCTTCTTAGTTGCTTGCAATCCTATAACACTCAATACTGCATATTCGTCCATTTGGAAGAAATTCCATTTAATCTTCTTTTTGTGTGGGACGACTGATAAAGTAGATGATGATTGAGTTGGTGGAGTAGTAGTGGTAGTTGTTACAGGAGTATGAGTAGTAGTAGTGGTTGGTGTAGGTGTAGAGGAAGATGGAGTGGATGATTTAAGCTCAGCGTTAGCTTTTCTCAACCAAGTTTTAGCCTTTGAGTCTTCAGGCTTGATTGTCAATGCCTTTTCCAATGCTTGTTTAGATTGTTCATATTGTTCCAATTCGAATAAAGCAACACCCTTTCTCAAGTGACCATTGAAAGAATTTGGTGAGAGTGAAATTGCTTGTTCCGCATCCTCCAATGAAGCCTTGTGATTTCCGAGTTGATTATAACAGGCTGATCGTTTTTCAAAATATTCAGCCTTCTTTTCCATTTCAATAGCCTGAGAATATTTAGTCAAGGCACTTTCATATTCTTCATCGACGAATAAATCATTTCCTTCTTGATAGAGATCAGAGGCACTTTCAAATGATGGCATCTTTTGATGGTGGTGTGGATGATTTTTTTTAATAAAATAATTAATAATAAATATATTATTGGTAGGGTGATGATGAAGATGAAGGAACTCTCATTCCGAAATTGAGTCTTCGGAATTTCCTACACTTCTTTCATCTCAATAATTTATTGTGAAGAATTCCAAGTTTTGTTGAAAACAAAAATTGTGAATGTTTGGTCTTTCTTAATAAGATTTCAAACTGAATAATTCATCTATGAAGAAATAATAAAAAACAAAAAAAGGCTTTGATCTTGGAGGGAAATACAATTTTAAAAATAACTCTTTAAAAAAATGTCTTCGATCAATTTATTTAATACACCACAAGGACCTGTATGTGTTATTGTTTCTTCTTGATTTAATTAATACATGAAACTCTAGCGTCCATTAGTTGAATTTAGAGCCGGAAAGTTGACCAAGGAGGGTTCTGTTGTTAAAGCCGATAATAGAAAAGGTAAAATTGTTCTAGTTGCTGGAAGTGACGAAGATCCACTTGTACATTTCCAATGGAGAGATAGAAGTGATAAAGTTATTGAGGTATGCAATTATAGTAATCTTATTTTGGATTAAGTTTCATTGAAATTAATTAATTAGGATTTCATTCTCTTCCCAGGAGATGTTACATTCAGTAAAGTTGATAAAGTTAAGGATGGCAGAGTGTATTTGTTAAAGTTTACTAATGGAAGAGAAGCATTCTATTGGATGCAAGAACCAAGCGCTGACAAGGATGCAGAATATGAAAAGAAGATTAATGAATATATTAATGAACCACCTCTTGGTGACGATATGGCTGATGAAGATTTGCTTCCAACTTCTAGCTCACAATCTGCTACTGCTCCAACTTCAAATACATCATCTCAATCTGCTGTCCAACTTGATCAATTGACTAGAATCATTCAAGGTATTAATCCAACAGGTGCTCAACCACAATCTTCAAGTCAATCATCAAGCCAAGGTGGTAGTTCTCAAAATGAATCAGGTAGGTTAAAACACAACACAAATCACCACAACACAATACACATTATTAGCCTCCTTACAAGAAATTATGAAAAGTTTACAAAGAGGTCAAAAACAATCTATTGGATTGGATCAAATTCTCACATCTGAATCTCTCTCCGAAATTTTAAAGAGAAATACATCAATTAATAATAGAGATGAATTATTCTCAAATTTACCTGAAGGTGATAATGAAAAATCAACTCAAAACTTATTAAGTCATATCAGAAGTCCACAATTCCGTCAAACTTTGGATGTTTTTGGAACTGCTTTAGCAACAGGTCAATTAGGAGGATTGATGAGAGAATTTGGTCTTGATCCATCAGTTGTAGATCCAATGAGAGGAGGAGGTTAGTTTATACACTATTTCACAATAAGTTATTTATTTCAATTTTTAACGTAAACATACTAACGTAGGTCTTTTAAAATTCTTGGATGCTTTAGCCAAAAAAGAAGAAGAAAAGAAACCAGAAGATAAGATGGAAGATGATAAGAAGGAATAATTGTCTCATACTGTATTAAAATAAATGTATATGAATTCACTGTTGTATAAAACATCTCGAGTTGTCAGGTATTTATAATCATTGATTCCTCATTGTTTTTAAATGTTTCAACATGTGATTGTATTATAACTTTGAATTTATTTGAGGAAGAAGGAAATATTGGCGCCAATCAATCTACAAAAAAATGCCAAAACACCATCTTCAAGGAATAACAGATAGTGTAAAATTAGCCAGGGAGCATGCTCTTCTCGGTAATTATAGTGTATCATTAGCAACATATGATGGTATCTCGGATCAAATTGATTCTTACCTTAGTGAAGCAATATTACCAATGGATTTGAAAACACAATGGTCTCAATTAAAACAAAGACTCAGACAAGAATATCAAATTATACAAAACATACAAAACGAATTGAATATATTCAGTAATGGATTTTCTTCTTCTGGGGGTAATTCTTCATCAAGTAGTAATAATAATAATAGTAATAATAATGGAGGAGGTGGAGCAAGAATGAAACCACTTCCAAAGTTCTTTGAGGATCCATCAGAGAAATCGGCAGGTGGAGGAGTTGCATTTGTTGTGAATACAGTTGCAAATAATTCACCAACAACATCATATGATGACCAACCACTTCCAAGAGCTAAAACACCAAATCAACTTGGTGGTGGAGCACCTCCTCAAGATAATTATGATCCTGATGTTTGGCTTCCTCCTACTCCAGTTCAAGGTGTTTCAAAACCAAAAAGATTATCAAATGATAAGAAGGTTCTTAATCAACCACCAACAAAACAAGTTAATAATCGAGTAAGTATCAACGCTCATCTCTGTCATAAGAATATTAGGTCGCAAATTATGTCGATAAGAAGCTAAACGCAAAGTTACTAGGAAATCAATATTCTAAAGATAACAAACAAAGACCAACTCCTGGAGTTGCAAACAAAAAGTCAAAGATGGATGATAAGGATAACATGGCTGTTGGAGAGGAAGGAGGTGAATCACCTGTTGTAATCGTAAATGGAGAAGAAAAACCAAAATTTGTTCCAGTGTGTTCAGCTGATAAGGATTTGGCTGAAATTATTGAGAAGGAAATTTTGGATAAACAATGTAATACTCACTGGACAGATATTGCTGGAATGGATTCAGCAAAAAATCTGCTTGAGGAAGCAGCTGTTTTACCAATCATGATGCCAGAATTTTTCAATGGCATTAGATCTCCATATAAGGGTATCTTGCTTTTTGGTCCTCCAGGTACAGGTAAGACAATGCTTGCAAAAGCAGTAGCCACTGAATGTAAAACTACATTCTTTTGTGTTTCAGTTTCTGCTTTGACATCCAAGTGGAGAGGTGAATCAGAAAAATTAATCAAATTATTATTCGAAATGGCAAGATTCTATGCTCCAAGTACTATATTTATTGACGAAATTGATGCCTTAGGTGGAAAGAGATCAGAAGGTGAACATGAAGCAAGCAGAAGAGTGAAAACAGAACTTTTGGTACAAATGGATGGTGCTAATAATGATGCACTGAATCCAGAAGAAAAGAAGATGGTTCTAGTATTGGGAGCTACCAATCACCCTTGGGAGCTTGACGATGCTTTGAGAAGACGTTTAGAAAAGAGAATTCACATTCCTCTTCCAGATCATGAAGGAAGAAAGTTAATTTTCAAACTTTATTTGGATAAATTAATTATAGGCGAAGATGTTAATGTTGATGAGTTATCTAGATTGACAGAAGGTTACAGTCCTGCTGATATTAAGTTAATTTGCAGAGATGCAGCTATGATGGTCCTCAGAAAAGCCATTGAAAGCTTTGGTAAAACTGGGTTAATCTCAAAACAAGACGAGTTGAAGAATCAACCTATTTCAATGAACAACTTTTTGGAGACATTAAAAAACGTGAGCTCTTCTGTGGGTACAGCTGAGCTTGATAGATATAAAAAGTGGATGGAAGAATTTGGATCAAAATAAATTATCATTTCACTTTATTATTTGTTGAAATGTTTTCCTTATTTTTACTACTCGAATATTTCTTACAATATTCAGTCAAAAAGTCAACTGTACCATAATCTCCAAATGGTTTAGATAATTGAGGTTGATGATAAGGTTTTGAAGGTATATTTGCTTGAGGTTGAAAAGTGGAATAATAAGTTGTTTTCCCTAGAGCTACAGTTGGCATCTTGTCTTGTTTCTTAGCTTGCTGAGAAGATGGTTTGGATGTTTGTGAAAATGTTGGAAGTTTCCTCCTTGCTTCTCTTCTTTCTTTTTGAACTAATGAATCGACAGAGAAAGAAGGCTGAACAACACCTCCAGAAGCAGTTGGGCAAGTGGTTGCCTTCCATGCAGGTTGAACCTTAGTATATTCTTGAACTTTAGAATTAGATCTAGTAAAGTCAGTCTTAGAAGTTGGCATTGTTACAATATTAGAAGGTGCCATTGCGAATGGTACTTTAGAATTAAAAACTCTATCATGCATTCTTTGTACATGAGAAGTTGATGGCCTAGCAGTTAAACATGATGTATTATTGTTGGTGTTTGTATTTGGATGATGATTAACAATTGATAAAGTATTTGTGGTAGTAAATTCATTAGGAAATATAATAGGTCTAACATTTGGAGCAGTTTTAGGTCTATTATGTGTCATTGCATACTTTTCAGATGCAACTTGTTGGATTGGTCTTGATTTTTTCTGATCAACAACATGTGGAGTTGTTTCTTTAAATTCGTAATGATCATGTGATTGAGGTTGGATATGTTTTTGATAGGAAGTAATTGATGACATCATCTTTTTAAAAGAATCCATATCTTCCTTATTCTTATTATCTTTGAAATATGTTGCAATTGATTTAATTGCTTTATCTGTTAATACTCCATGTCCAAAATTACTAGCTGCATGAAAATATGCATCAACTTCACTATCTGCTGTATATGGATTCTTTACATTTGATAAATTTTCAAAAGTACTTCCTAGTTTTTTAAATAGAGTATGAAATTGTTTTCTATCATTCTCAGAGGCTTGTTCTTTTAACCATGCACTAACTCCTCTTAATGAGTTATCATTAAACAATTTTGAATAACTACTAGTTTGTAATTTCTTTGAGGTTTTCCGATAGGATTTTAATACAAATTCTTTACGATACTCCTGATAAGCATCAAACTTTTGATCAAAGTAAGGCTTATAGTGACCCATAGACATTTTTTTTGAACGTTATTATTTCAAAATCATGCTGTAACCGTCCATATCAACTGACTTTATTGTAGTAGTTTAAAAGATTCATTTGCAATGAGCAGGGATCATCACTATTAACCGTTTTACTGGAATCCTCCATCAACAGTATTATTGCCGACACATCATCTTGGGTAGTAACACTTTGAAGGTAGTGCTATTACTTTCCTTAATCATGCACCCAGAATCAAAGAATAAGGTTTTAAATGATGAGATTTTTCATTGATATTAAATTAATATATTGAGTGTTATTATTATTACTACAGGAATTGTTTTTACATTAGTAGTGTTAGGAAGTTTAATGGTTTCGATGGGAGGTAATATATTGGTACAAAATTATTGGGAGTTGAGGTTAATGGTGCTTAATCAGACTTTTCAATTTCTCTTTCTTCATCATCTTCATCATCTTCCTTCTTGTTAGGATTATGTCTCAAAAGATAGGAAGCCAAATATTGTATTGGATCTTCTGGTCTTTCTCTAACAACACAAGCTAATCCTTGCAACAAGATTGGAACTACAGTTTGATCGAGATAGGCTCTAACCGGAAGGGCATGATAATTCGTTTTAGAGTGCACTCTTTCCTTTGTTTGTTCAAGAGTAGCAGCACTAGGGGTGAAATCTCCTAAAATACTTTCTTGTTTATTATCTTTGTATTATGATCCATGATAATTATTCATCCATTCATCAAATATTGAAAAACCTACCAGACATTGTTGATGTATTTTTTATTGTTTGAAAAATGTAAAAAATTGCGCGCCAAAATTTTATTGTTTAATCTTTTTCTTTTGAGGTTCTTGTTCATTCTCACTCACTCTTTCACTTGTTGTATTTTCACTTTCATTCTCTTGATTATTATTATTATTAGCACTAGTAGTAGTATCAGTATTGGTATCAGTTTCAGTATTATTATTAGTATTATTAGTATTATTACATCTATTTAATAATAAATTAATACCCTTCTTTTTATGGACATATTTCAAAATATCAGTTGAAAATTTAGACCATTCCTTTTCACCCATTGTATCTAATTCTCTTCTAATATTAAATTCATTCAAATCTAAATTTCTCAATTCAATTTTCAATAAAACTTCATCAATTAATTTTTCATGTTTTTCATTAAAATTTTCCCAATGAACTTGTTCAATATCATTTGGTTTAATTTTAAATATAAAATTTCTATCACAAACATAATTTTCCTTATCAAGTAAATATAAAACACATCCTTCTGTAATAAAATGATTATATTCATAGGCATGTTTTAAATTATTTTCATTTCTAAAATTTTCATTTAATTTAAAATTATATTCTTGTAATGTTTTAACTTGTTCAATTAATGTTTTATAACTATTTTTATATTCTATTAATTTATTAATTTTAATATTATTTAATTCAATTATTTCATTTAATTCATTTTTATTTAATTCATTATTAGTTAATTCAATATTATTTGTTAAATTAATAGATTCTAAAATACATGGTTTAATTTTAGAATTATTATATAAAAATAGTAATGGTTTTAATTCAATATCAAAATTATATTTAACAAGATGTGGTTCTTCATATCCACATAATTCACAAGATAGAGAATTAATATTTTTATCATTAATAAAATGTGAAAAATAAATATTATTTGAATTTTTTAAAATATTTTCATTAAATAAATTTAATTTTTGTAAACTTTTTACAGTTAAATCATAAAATAAAATTGAATGTCTTGGATTATTTTCAACTATTGGAGTACCTTTAGTTTTACAACTAATAAATTCAATACCATCATTATTACTATATTTATATAATACTATATTTGAACCATTCCATTTATTCATAAAACAATAATTATTTAAATTTTTAATATTTTTAAAATAATTTTCAGGTAAAAAACAAGTTCCTTTTTTTTGTTTTTTAGGATATAAATAATTTAAATTTGGAATATTATATACTATATTTGGTTCATTTAAATTTATATCATTTATATTATCAATAATCATTGATCCATTATATTTACCATGTTTAGTAACAATACATCCTTTAATTGTATTACTTTTATTAAATGGATCAATACAATCAAATGTTTTTACATCTCTTTCAACATTATTTAATTTAAATACATTTTTAATAATATTTAATGTTTTAGTATTTGTTATTTTATATTTACTTGTTAATAAATTATTATTATCATCATCATTAGTATTATCATCATTGTTTGTATCATTGTTATTATTACTATCATTATCAGTTCTCTTTCTTTTTAATTCCGAAGATGATGATCCATCATCAATAATAATAGAACCTTCCTGTTGATAAAGTTCAGACATTTTTTTTTTCAAAGGCTTTTTTATTTTGATGGGAGAGTGCACTGTGTGCAACTATCAACTATGAACACACAAGGCTTTAATCTCACAATTCTATCGTAGTTGAAATACTACTACTATTAATAACTAATGTTTTAATGAGTATCGTACATAAATTAAATTTAATTTATTATTGTTGATTCCAATTGTTTTTCTTCTTGTTGTAATAAATTTAATTTTTCCAACAAGTGTCTTCTAAATTTCAACAAGTGATACAAATTCAATGTTCTCCAATGTAAAATCAAAGTTAATAAAAAGGCTAAACCATTCAATACGGATAGAATAATAAAAGTCAATTCATAACATTCTCTACCATGACATGTTAACATTCTAGGTTCCTTAATATTTAATTGATACAAATGACCAGCTAAACCAGTTGAAAATGCATACGATCCACATGAAGATGATAATGAATGAATTGTAGAATTTAAACCGTAATATTTGGCGCCAAATCTTTCACTTATAAAACTTGGATTCAATGCCATAAATCCACCATAACTCAATCCTACAAAAATAATTAATGGATAAAAACCTGGTAATGGTAAAAATGAAAATATAAATTGACCAATCATCATCATTAATATAGTAATTCCTATAAATGTAATTCTTGTTAAATTTTTTAATGGATTAAATAATTTATCACTCACAAATCCAAATAAAATTCTACCAATACAATTACAACAACTAAATACAATTACCATATTATTTTGTTCTCCATTTTTACCACCATAAGATTGGACTATTGATCCTAAATTGTTAATTATTACAATTCCTGATCCGGCAAATAAAAATGTTATTAAAAATGATAAATAAAAATCTAATGAAATTAACATTTTAAATGGATTGACATTTGGTGCTTCATTTTCTTTTAATTTTAATTCTATTTTGGTAATTCTTTCTTTTAAAGTTTCATTTTCTTTTAAATTATTTTCTTTTAAATTATTATTTACATTATCATCAACATCATGTAAATTATCTACGTTATCTACATTAGATGATTCATTTTCATTTTCAATTTGATTATTATTATCATTTTGATTATTCTTATTATTATTACTATTTATAGTAAGTGAATTAGCCTTACTATCTAAAAATATAGGACCCATTATCATTACTACAACACCTCCTAATACAGCACAAAATATTAAATAAATTTCTAAATCTTGTTGAAATATATATAAATATGCACCTGAATATATTGCACTACTAATACCATAACAAGATGATAATACTCCAACTATATATATTTAAATATAAAATTAAAATAAATAAAAAATAAAAATAAATAAACATTAAATAAAATTAAATACATACTAACTAGACCTCTATTTCTTTCTGGAAAATTCTTCATTGAAGTAGAAATTGAAGATATAAAACCACCTCCACATGCACTTCCCATTAAAAACATTAAAAAACAAAATGCTATATATGGATCTATAAATGGTAAATTACCAGTTACAATTAAGGACATGGAAAAATATGAAAAAAATAAACATGCTCCTGCTAATAAACTACTAATTCTAGATCCAAATATATCATTTACAAATGAAAATATAAAACTAAAATTAGATCCTAAATTGGCTGATGTTCCTATTAAATTTACTATTTATAGAAATATTATTATTTTAATAAAACAATATAATTGTAACATACCTTCACTTTGTGATAATAAAAATGTTCTATTTTCATAATATTATAAAATTAAATTAAAAAAAATAATAATAATTAAAATAAATTATATTTAAATAAAATTAAAAACTTACTTTTTTAGAGAAGGACTAATAGATGAAAATGAATAAGGAGTACCACTTGCAGTCATTATAAAACAACCAACAATAAATGCTATCCATCTTCTAACTCTCTTCATTGATTCTGATTGAAATATTTTTGTAAAATTTGAAAATCTTTTCTTTTCAACTAAAATTGGAATTTCATTATAATTATTATTAATAGAATTTACATTATTATCATAATAGGAAATATTATTATTACTATTAGATAAAAGTAATGATTTTTCACTATTAAATGCATTTTCTAATTTCTTTTCATAATTTTCATCATCAATATCATCGTTATATTGAGACGCCATTTTTAGTATATTCAACAATCAATAGGTATCACACACTATTTTTTAAAATACAAGAGATGCAACAAGAGATGATTTGGATGTTTAGATGTTTTTTTTATATTGTTGTTATTGTGTTGT